GTTTCCTCAATTCTGCTTCTTATCATAAAGGCACCCAAAGTTGGTCTGAACTGAGGTGGAGGTGCGCTTGAAAGCACCTTCCTCTCCCACGTGCCTCTGTGCTTCCATGTGTCCCTAACCAGATCCCTCCATCCCATCTGCTCTTCTCAAGGAAACGGCCCCATGTAGCCTCATACCTTGCAAATCAGCTCCAGGGTGTCCCTGGCAGTGTCTCCCGGCCGGACGACTGTCAAGGCTGGCTGATTATTTGGCAGACAGAACCAGGATGGTGTGAAATACTCATGGACCCAAATGTCACAGTCAGGGTTGTGCTGGTGGACGCTAGGTAAGACCATCTCTTTCTCCCTCTGCAATAAGAAATGAAGTTAGCAGAGCAGCAACAGTTGGTTTCTAACGATCTTAGACCTCTCTCACTGCACACAGGGATGACCTATTCCTGTGAAAAGGGTCCAAAGAAGAAGTGGTGGCAGTGGGAAAAGATAAAGGGGAATCCTCAGAGCAGAAGAAATGATTGACAAGGGAGCTTTTTTGAGGATTTCTCAGGCAGGAGGCAGACCTCACACCTGGTCCACAACACACACAGGTGGGCACTGCATGAATGAGTGGGTAACGGAATAAAAGAAAGCGAGAGAGAAAGAAGAAATGGGTCATCCATTCAACCTAGCTTTATTGTTAATGGTTCTTCCACAAGCCCATCTCAAATTTAGAGCAGAGAATTCCTAGAGCAAGAATGTCTGTCATGTGAGCTCTATGTTTCAAAGGCAAGTGAGGCCCCAGGGAAATTTTTAAAGAAAAGATGATGAAGGGCCGGCCGAGTGGCTCAGTTGGTTAAGAGCTCGCTCAAGAGTGTGAACTCTGAGCAACAGCGGTTCAATTCCCAGCTCGAGCTGAGCAGCCGCTGAGCTGCCAACAGGTGGCAGGATGGATCAGCTTAAAAGAAATAATAATAAAAAAAAGAATGTTCAAGGACCAACTATTTACAAGAAGCATCATTTGGGGGCTCGAATTTGACCTCGAACACAAATCTGGGAGAAAGACAGCTCCACGTCCCAGATGAGGTTCCGAGAACTTCACGGATGAGCTCCGGAGCCTTCTTAGGCTGCAGCCATCACTCCATCTTCTACACATCACTCTGCCTGAGGCTCGGGGAGCAGCACCAAGTTTGTAAGGATGGGAGATGTGTCTTATTTACACATTCAGCAACTGGGTCATATCTGAGCAAGTTAAACAACTAAGACAGAAAAAACTTCATAGGCTGATGAAATATTAGGAGCCTCATCTCTT